CAGTGGAGGGGTAGACTGCAACCTTTGCCAGGGCATCATGGCAGTTCTTAGGATTTAGATTTCCCTGTAGCTGGAGAATGTGGTATTATTTAATGAAGTGCATTTTGCTGTTTATGAGTTCAAGTGGTAAAAGCCACCACATTCCTCTGGGCTTCTCCTGCTGCCCCCCTTGGCAAGCCTTGGCTGTTCTTTAGTCCTTGTAGGCAGTTCTGGTCTCTGCACAGCTTTCTTCCCAACCATGCCAGGAGAACTTTAATTCCTGTAGTAAAACAAAGTCTAATCTGGAAACAAAATCACCAGACAGTGAGGTTGTCTTTGTCTTGACTTTGTGTTCAGTGTTGTAGCTCATTTGGTTACTACAGCTGATGCTGCTTCTTATTTAGCACTTTTCTCAGTTGTTTGGAGTCTCTGCAGATATTAAATTACAGATTCTAAATTCAGCAAGCTGAGATCCACAGGAGAGCTGGGCCTCTTTGCTCTGTCTTGCAAGCATGCAGATGGGTGGCAGACACCTTTTTCAGTCTTACTCTGCACAGCAGTTCCTTTCCAAGGTTCATCCTACCGTGTGTGACATTCAGTACTTGCTTCTTCAAGCTCTACTATTCATTAATTGTATTTAATATCTTTTTGTTCTTTTCTTGAGAAAATATACTTGTTTGTTCAGTGTGGCACTTTTTATGCCATCCATATTTTGCTCCCTGCTCCTAGTTTATGTTTTTCTTCTGCCATCAAGTGTGCTGATGCCCATTTGTCTTCTGTATGGAATCAGCAGTGTTAGTAATTCCCTTCAATGCCCAAACTAGGGAATTGTAGGTGCAATGGAAATCCTGAGCCCAACAAGGATGGGAGAAGTGGAAGATGAGGAAACTTTGACTCAGGGAAAGAGGAGGAGCTGGCAGTGTGGTTAGGGTGAACAATCCTGATGCCACCATTCATGCACATCTTTCCTGACTGCACTGAAAGCCCTGCCAGCCCTGCAGGGGCTGTCCTGACTCTCTGGCTCACTGCCTCTCATGTGCTGTCCCCACTCATGGCTGTGTTCACTCACTGCTCTGCTCCACTTCCACGTCTCTTTGGGCTGCATTTGCAAAGTCAGCACATCTCAATAACGAGTTCCTCTGAGCCTGCTGCAAGATTTCAAGGCAATGAGCCCAGCTGGGGGTGGAGAAGGGATGTGGCTAAAATACTATTAAAAAATCCCTTTGCTATCAATTGCGAGTCATGGCACTTAATAATGCTAATAGTGCTGTAATATTAGACTGTAATATTAAACTCTTCTCAAGCATTCAAAGCATCCCAGTCCCACCAGAGCATGGGAGATGATAGATCCCACAGCAGTCTTGTGTATACATGAGTGAGTGCAAAGGTCTGTCACTTGCTGAAGTACAGGCCTTGTTCTTCCCAACATTTTTTAAGGCAGAGAGAAGTCATGTTCTATTTAGTTTTTGTGATTAGTTCAAATATTTGCTCATAAATTGTACCAGCTCTTGTGGGAACTGAGTTAAAATATTATCAAAACTTCTCAGAATAATTGGCAAATACAAGTGTTTGATACCCAACAAGATTATCTGCTTTATAGACTGTTTTGTGGCATTAATTCTTGTGGTAGCTCAGCTCACCACATTAGTGGGCTTGTCACCCATGCTCTGCGAAGGAGAGGGTTCTGTATTTTAGAAGAGGTGGTGGGAGGTCATTGAGGTGCCCAGGACTTCAAAGAGCACCCTCCGTCCCCCTTCTTATGCTGAGGAGCTATTGCAGGGCTGACCCAGGACTTCTCAGTGAAATATTTGTGTTTAGTTTCCCTAGCCCCTTGCAAGGGAGGGTGTCTCTGGCTTTCTGCCCTTTTGGGAAGAAAAGAGTGTAGAGAAATTAAGAGGATTTTTTTCTCTGGCTCTTTCTTTTTTTTGCCTTTTTTTTTATTTTTTCTCTTAAGATGAACTTGGCAACTCTGTAAATCTCCCTTGGGAAAGCAGCCCATCTCCCAGAAGATTGCTCTCAGTGCTTCCAGCTTCTTCTAAAAGAGTATTGACAACCAAACAGCAAAGAACATCAAGGGCTTTCTGAGCCTGTTAAGATTTATGGGTTCATTTGCAACTTGGCAGTGAGAGCTGGCCTCAAATGCATCTCAGCAGAGATACCAAATAGCAACAGCCTCTTACCCACCCTGCCCAAGAGCCGCCGCCTCCTGTCTGTTCGCAGCCCTTTCCCTTGCTCCAGGGGCTGACAAAGGCAAATAGAAATCCCTGCTTTGGAAAGCGCAAAAGGCCCTGCAGCAGGAGCTCCTGAGCCCCGTGCGCTTGTGCTGTTGGAAACAGGGAAACACTCCCTGTTTTCCGTGGGCTCCTGGCCAGCAGAAGAGTTCCTCTCAGGCAGTGACACGGCGCTGCTGCTGAGCTGCCCTTCCAACAAAATCCCCATGAGAAAAAAAACCCTCTGGTGAGCACAAGAGCCAAGAGAAATCAAGTTCTGTTTAGCACCAAAGTTTGATTTATTTTCTCAGACACTTTCTCAGCAGAGTGCACATTCTATGTATTTGACAAAAAGATTCCACAATAAATATGACAGAAATTAAAAGGCAAAAATTGTTAAACAACAAGAGGGTTTTGAACAACCACCAAATTCCTGTGCATCCTCAAAGGAAAAGGAGAAAAGTTCATGCACATCTCCAGCAAGCCAAGGGCACCATATAAAGGCAGTGTGCCAATTTTCCTACGGATTTTTAACTGCTTTGTGTATTGAAATATGTAATGTGCATGCCAGACATGAAAATGAATGTTGACATGTAAGTTACATCCTGCTCCTTTGCTGTGTATGTGTTTTCTGAATGCTGCCATTTGGGACTTGCTTTGTTTGGGTGGAAGGCATTTTTCCACTCAGCATCACACTTTGTCTCTATTTTTTGAGGCATATCACAGAGAATTTTTTCCATAGTTTTGTTTAAAGTCAGCTTCTAATCCTTATGTAATATGTAGTGGATATAAGCCATTCCAACAATCCATAGGACATATGGAAAGTACTGTCACTATCTATGAATGGAAGTCATACCTCCAAAATCCAAATTGCTGTTTTTTGGAGCCAGCCACAGGGGCACAAGAAATTTAACAGACACAGATACTTATTTTCTGCAGATTCTTCAAACACCATCATAAAAAAAAAAAAAAAAAAAAAAAAAAAAAAAAAAAAAAAAAAAAACTGGTGGTGGTTTCCAGAGGGAAACAGATAAAACTATCACAGTTTTCAAAAAATTCATAATTCATAAGTGATAGTGTCACTAAGGGTAAATTACTGCTACCTTTGCAAAAGCAACAGAATTCCAACTTCTCATTGAGGACTGTGTTTAATTCCTGTCTGGAACTAACAACACTGCACTTCAGAGAAATGAGATACAGCAGGGTCAGAGAGTTTGAAAATCCCACCTGAATGTTGAAGCATCAGTTCTAAGACAACCGGGGGCAAAAAACCAAACAAAACCTAAACAAAATAACAACAAAAGCCCCCACCACCTAAGTAAAATCCAGAAAATAATGACATTATTGAGAACAAAGTGTTATAGATGAACATTTTATAATGTGTTAAAACTTTTTTAAAACATGTCATACTGACATACTTAAACTTTGGTATAATGCCAAAAACCCTTCAGGATCATCCTTACTAATTGAATTGAACCTGAAACATTTGGTGGAATAATGCAGAGACTAGCAGCTTTACAGCTTACTGAAAACCAAACATGTCCTAACAGAACATAGTTTACTGTATAATTGCATTATGGGGCCACATTTGGTAATTAAGGGTTAAGTCAACAATAGATTACTTATTCAAAGGAGAGACTTTTAAGCTCTTTTTTTTTTTTCTCTTTAGCATCATCTAGACTTCTGGATTTTTTTAAATTACCAGCCCCGAGCCCTCAGTCTACACCAGGACTTGAATTGAAGATGACTTTCCTGATTTGATTTATGCTGTGTGCATCCCTTTTCTGAGAAATGTACATGTGTCTTCCTTCAGGTGCTCTGGAGCACCTCCAGCCCCTCTGCTAGCGGTTCTGTGTGAGCTGCATCTCGTGCTTTAGAAGCACGAGATGCAGCTCTGAAAGCCCACTGGCAGCGGGCTGGGCTTGAACCAGGTGATGACAAGGACCCAGAGCTGCCTTCCAGCAGAGAGCACAGCCCTGTGCTGTGGGAACAGGCCAAATCCCCTTCTGTGCTGGCTGAGCAAGCACGGTTCTTTTATGGATGTTGCACTACAGGTTAGGACTCTAAAAACACATCGAGTGTTTCAGGGCATTAGTGAAAATCTGTGCCATCCTCAATCCAGGCACCAGTGAGGCTCAAATGCTAACAGCCAAGTTCCCCTGAGCCCTCCTGTTCTCCTTCAGAAGAGGTGGAATGCAATCCCACTGCCATGGATGACAGCTTTGCCTTGACTTGATGCTTATGCCTGGAGCAGCTGTAATCCTTGCCTTAACACCCTCTAAAAACAGTTAGTTAAGCCTCAGAACAGCATCTTCTTGCCCTGGGACTTGTGCTTATTGGGAATGGTTTGCTCTGGAGGTTTCACAAGTTTCTGTGTCTTTGAATCATTGAAGTCCAACAGGCAATATCATAGAATCACAGAACTGTTTGAGTTGGAAAGGACATAAAAAATTCTGCAGTTCCAACACCCCTGCTGCCATGGGCAGAGACACCTTTCACCAGACCAGATTGTTCAGGGCCCCATCCAGCCTGGCCTTAAACACTTCCAGGGATGGGACATCCACAATTTCTCTGAGCAAGCTCTGTCTCACCACCCACACGTAAATTAAGAATTTCATCCTGAAATCTAATCTAAACCTACCCTGTCTCAGTTTGAAGCCATCCCCCTGTGTACTATCACTGCAGTTCCTGATTAAGAGTCCATCTCTGGCTTCCTTGTAGGCTCTCTTCTGATGCTGGAAGGTTTTTATGAGGTCTCCATGCAAACTTCTCTTCTCCAGGCTGAACAGCCCCAGCTTCCCGAGCTTGTCTTTATAGGGGAGGTGCTCCAGTCCCCTTATCCTGGATATTGGGGTACAAAGTCATGACCTGGCTCATCCCACCGTAAGGATAAGGGGAGCAGAGCTCCCTGTGTATGTTTATTTGCCGGGCAGAGGGTGGCCTTGCAGCTGGGGTGGGCCAGTAGTCCCCGTAAGAGGCATCGGGGTAAGCTTTCTGGAATAAGCCCGTTCCCTTGCTGGACTCCAAGCGCAAGGGCTGTCCCGGGGGCTGCCTGGGGACACCGCGCTGCTGCTGGGGCTGCCCGTACGAGGGAAGCCTGTCGGGGCACAGAGCTGTGCACGGCGGCACAAGAGGGTGCTGGGTCTGCAGGGCCTGTTGGTGCCGAGCACCACGAGGGAAGGAGCGGCTCCGGTGGCCTGTTCCGAGCCCGCCAGGGCGCTCCCGGGCCCAGCCGCGCTCCGGGCACATCCCGCCCTGCGGGGGCGGCGCTCCCTGGAAGGGGCAGCGCGGGGAGCCGGGGCGCTCCAGGCCCTGAGGGTGGCCGAGTGCGAGCAGCTTGTGCCTGAGGCCGGAGCAGGGGTGAGGGCAGTCCATGACCGCCCTGTCCCCAGAGGTGCACACGGACCAGCCGCGGCCGTAGGTGCCGTCGCTGATGGACAAGCCCGACATCTCCTCCAGGAGCGGCTCTGGCTGTGGCAAGCGCTGGTCCAGCCGCAGGTCAGAGCCAGGACTGCTGGGCCAGGCCCGGAATGTCTGCTCCGAGCAGCTGCCCTGGGGCCTGCCTGGGCAGCAGGAAGGCCCGGAGCAGCCTCTGGCTTCCCGCAGAGTTTCTGTGCAGGCTTCGCACTGGCACCTCTCCTCCTCTTTCCCCGGGGCTAACGGGACCTTTGTTTTGGCCCTGAGCTCATCGGCAACTGAAAGCTGAGCTTGATGCTGTCTCTCTGGATGGTAAAATTTGCATTTATTGCCATAGGTGCATTTTTTACCTGAAAGGATAAAAACAAATCAGACAGGAAGTTGTCACTAGCACCAACATCAATTAATGCACACATCGCTTCTCCCCAGCACTGGGTGCGAGGAGCAGAAAAAAGAGGAAGTACTATTTTCATACTCAGTACTGTTGACTCCAGATTTAAATATTGCTGATATTAATAGCAGGGTGAAGCAGCAGTGAAAGGAAGTCTCTGCTATTTTGGAGGTGTCTGATGTTCATGTTTCAGTTCCTGCACTCAGTGGGCTGGGAGGTCTGCTACTATGAAAGGTGGCTTTAAAAAATAGCATAGGGATTTTCCTCTGAGAAACTTGCGTGTTTCTGGGGGGCTGTGGGGAGGGGAGAGAGGGAAAGTGTTTGGATGGCCATTCCCAAGTGCTGCAGCAGAATGCGCTCCACCAAGTGAGACGTGTGTGTGGGCAGGACAGTCGGCACAGCCACAGTGCCTGTGGGTGTTTTGTGCATGGAAGGATGGAGGGGCCAGAAAATCTGCTGCCTTTGCTGAGGCTGAAGCCACTCAAGCAGGAGGGGGAAAAAGCATCACACCTTTGAGCAACCCCAACCCACGTGCCTACCACAGGAAGCAGGACAGCATGTGGCAGTGGCCTCTGGCCGAGGGAGAGCACTGATGGGAAGCAGGGGGAAGGTCACAACATGGGGAGAAACCCACCATAAGGGCAAGGCTGCCATTTTTTCTCAGGAAGCACTGGCTTTTTGCTGAGGAAGTTACTTAAGGTGGGTCCATGCCGGCCTAATGGATCATCGGGAGGCATAAACCTGGAAAAGTAAAAAAAGCCATGGATGTAAGCACATGTCTGTGCACACTGGATGTCTCAGTGAAGTGCATTTTCCCTGGAAACCTCAGCTATCAGGAAACTGGGGAGAGAAGACAGGTTAGTATGAAGAGACTGAGGAGACTCAGCTCAGCCTCGCAGGAAGAATGGAAACCTTCTCTCAGCAGGGATAGTGAAGGGCCAGAGAGACCAGCTTCTTGTCTCTTCTAACAAGCTATGACTGCAGAAACACAGGGAAAAGCCCTATTTTGTTGTGTAGGGGAATTAAAAATACTGCCAACCAGCCTCCTCTCATGGATTTAAATTCTGCTTCTTACAGGAAATAGAAATTAAAAGATACTGGCCCTTGGTTCAACATCACAAATTGGATTGGAAAGAAGCAAAGCTGGTCACTGATGCTGCCATTCAAGTAGAAAAGTTCATAGAAGAGTGACATGGGAGGTTTTAAGATCAAAGCTGAGGCAGTAGGACACTCAAGAAACGAGATAAGAAAAGCTGCAGTAAATTCCTTTCATAAAAAGTCTCGTGTATTCTGCTACTGATGGGAGGCACTTTGATGCTGGAGGTGACTTGGCCCATAATGTTTAAATTCTAAATTGTATAACACCATCATCTCTTACCTGTTACTGACAAAAGAGTACATGAGCAGTCGCTGCTCAATGAACCATTTCCACTCGGGGTTCTCGTTTTGGAGATCCCGGTAGTGGTCATTGGAAACAATGACTCCGTCTCTCTCGTAAGCAACTTTCACTATGTAGCGATCGTCATAGCAAACCACCCTCTTGCCTTTCACCTTCCGAGAGGGTGTGTACACCAGGATGGATTGCTTCTCCAGCTCCTCAAGGATGTGCTGGTCTGGTGAGGGAATTGGCAGAAGTAGATGAGGGAAGCAAAAAAATAAAAGAGAAACTAATTAATTAATTATGACCTGGTCTCAAACATCTGCTAGAAACCTACAGGAATCTAAAGATATTTCAGCACTTTAGGAAACTCATGGTCCAATTTTCAGATGCAGTGATATCTGGTGGTTATTTGGCAACTTGAAAATGAGGTCTTTTACAAAGAGGTTTTACCTAACCTGTAAATTTTGAGACACCCTTTTTTGATTTTTAAGTCTTATCTGTAAAAGAGTGCCTTGAATTCTACACCAGAGTCTGATACTGAATCCCTGCAGTGCCCTTTTTACCCTGCTAGATGCCAAAAGGCTCATAACCAGCCCTGATGTAAGCTTTACATGGAGATAAAACGTGTGTGATAAAATACATAAATAAACTTCTTTTGCTGCTGTTGAGGACACTCTGACCTCTTGCCATTCCTTCTCTGCAGGAAGGCAGACCTGCCTCATCTGCACTCACCAAGCTGCTGGCACAAACCTGGCTGGTTTCCAGACAAACTATTTCCCCACGAACTGAGTCTCACTCCCCTCCACAGATTTCTGCCGATGTATTTTCTTCTCCTGGAAGGGAGACACCCTCTGTGTTGGGTAGCAGGCTGACAGATAACAGCCATGCAGTAATGAACATCAGTGTCTCCTGGCAGGCCTCAAAGGCTCCACAGACTCATTGCAAGCTGACAAACTCCTTCTCTAACTCAGCTTGGCAGCACCTTGTGCTTGTTAAGCAGAAGGTTTAAAGCAGTGTAACAAAGCCTTGTAAGCAGTTTTAGCTGCTAGCCAGGAGCACTGAATGGGGCAATGAATTAATGACTCATTTAAGTGAGGGAAGCCTGATACACAACTTGTACTGTGCTTGTCTTTACAGGAAAAACAACTGTACTGGGTTCTTCACACCCCCTCTGTCTCCAAACTGCACCTAATCGCTGCCAAATTACGCCCAGGATGGTGACCTACCTGCAATGGGGCTCTCTTGTCGAGGGGGTTCCTTTCTCCAGAGTGGGACAAAAACCTTGATGTAAGTGTGCCCCCTCTCTCGAAACCAATCCACCGCCAGCTGGATCCCCCAGCAGGAGAACACCTCCTTGTTTCCATGACTGTAAAGAAAGAGAGAGGATGATGAGGCAAAGCTTTCATGAAGCTTAGAGTTCTCTTTAACTGAGCCAGTAATGAAAAGGCAAAATAAACAGCTTTTGTCATTCACCAGTTTCCAAGAAAACAACTGGCAGGGTGTTCTGGTGGGACAGATCCAAACACCTCCTCCAGCAGAGCCAAAGATTTATCTGAAACAGCTTGGATGTTTAAAAACAGAGGTATCCTATCCCCCATTTCTGTGACCCGAGCCTATTCCTTTCATCTGTATATGGATGGACTTAAGTTCTAAAGTACCAACAAGATCTTAGGCCTTGTCAAACCCTTCATGGTCCTTATGTGAATAAGGTTTGAGGGGTGAGAGTTTCTTCCTGCACAAGCAGAAACCCATGAGGGTCCTGTGAGAAATAAATTTGTGGGAATTTTCTTCTGTGGTAACAGGGCCTTTGGAGATTTTAATGACTGAAGTGGCTGCAGGTGTGATCACAGGGCACTCCACTGGTGATCTTTTTTCAAAACAAGAGACAAAATAATGGGGAAGAAAAACTGTAACAGGCAGGATAGGAAATCCAGAGACCCAAAAAAGGGACAAGACATCAGTGGAGATGGCCACAGGCACCTCAGGCCCACTTTTGTGTTGTTCTAGTTGGTGGATATTTTCTTCATTGCACAGAGAGGTAGGAAAGCCCTAAGACAAGTGCTCTAGAAGTGCCAGCAAGATGGGTTCTGAAGAAATCAATATGCAGCATAAGACAGAAAATAACCTCAAGGAAAACAGCTGGGGGTGACATCCTTCCAAATGTCCCACCTTCTCTGAAAGTTTCTGCTGCTTGGCATTCACTTTTTAAAAATTTTACTATAGCACAGCGTATCTATAAAGGAAGGTAGTTTGTTAACTACCTCTGCACAAGGAAATTAAAATTTTAAAATTAATTAAATTAATTAATTAATTAAATTTAATTTTAATTTGTACCCAAAGTCCTAAGTGGATAAATGCCTTCACAGTATCCACAGTATGTTCATCATTGTACTTTGACCTTTCTGCATAATATTGCCAGTCTCACTCAGGCTTTCACCACTGCAAAAAGCCCTTGTGAAGGATTCCTAGCTGCTACACCCACCTGCACTGACAGACCAGTCAAGGGTGATGCCACAGTCTTAAATGAATCTCCCACCACCCTCCCAGGGATTCATCTCCAGGATCTGTCTACACCAGCCTCATAACCAAAGCTCTGGTTTACACCCAATAAAAGTTTCTGTCCTGAAATGGTGACCACAGATGAAAAATAGCACAATTCGTAGGAAGAAACCTGGCTGACTATTAAGAGCTAGCGAGGCAATAGGAAGTCATTAAAAACCTTTAGCAATAATAAATGGTCTGATGTGCTTGACATATCTCCATTTTAGAACAGCTGTTTTGTTTGGTTTTAAAGGATAGGATCTTTCCAGGATATTCATAACATCATCTGGACTGTTGAATTGGAAATTTGAGTGACTTTTTCAGATAATTGCCTTTAAAAGTCAGTCCAGGTACATCTTTGATGCCACGACTCAAACAAAGTTCAGCAACATCTTTCTTAAATACTGGTTATTTGTATATATAATCCTGTGCAGAAAGTAAAGAACTCAAGCACAAGTGGGTCAGCCAAAAGGCTGAGTGGAACAAGGAAGATGAGGCACCTGGAACTGCTCCTGAGCATTATCACCTAATCCAGCTGCTGCTACACTGCTACAGCCAGACCTGTGGCCACCTGAACGAGTCTGAACATGTGTGGGGGCTGCACGTCCCCATGGAACAGCAGTGACTGCTGTGCCATGAGCAGGGTCCTCAGAGCTCCTCATCCTCCCTGTGTGGGCACAGACTGGCTCCTGCCAGTCACCTTTCCCACGCATTCCCAGAGGCCATGGACCATAACCCATCCATGAGCTGTCAGACCTCAGCCTCATCTCTGCCTCCTACCAGCAGCAGGGTACACTGCATGGGGTCACAGACCTGCAGGGCCCATCTCTCAGAAAACGGAGCAGCAATCTGGCATCTCTGTCACTCCAGCAGATAATCCATCATTAGCATCTTTTGTAAATTGTACCATTCCAACTCCTTTGAGAGATAGTTTAGGCAAACCAGCTTCTTTTGAAAACTGCAAAAGGCCCCATCTCCACGTGGGCATGACACATCAGCCAAAGCTTTGTCAGAAAGGCATAGGAACAGGCCTCTGTAGATACCACAGCTTTAAAACTTGGTGTAATTGCAAGACCTAGAGGAGATAGCAGCCTCTTCAGAGGGCAGTCAATATGGTTATGACACTTCCCTTTCTCTATTAATACAACTCCATTTATTTTTTCCACCAGCCTTGCTAAACTTCCCATGGATAGGCTGGCAGCTGACAAAATTTCTCATTACACTGATGGAAACACCAAGTGTACTGAGATGCCTGATGAGTGAGACTGGCTGAAGGCAAGGTTATTTTCCATTCAGCTTCTCTGGGTAGGCTGACTGATGGTTGGAGACTGCCAAGGCAGTTGCTTTATTACCCTGGGGCATATTCCTCCTTTTCAAAACCTTGTGTTCCACAGTGGGCCCTCAATGCCAACTCCAAAATGCTCCAGGATCAGCAATCCTAAGATAGAAGTATAAATGCTTGAGATATTTTTCTCCACACAGACAACTGCCACTTGAAGCTCTAACCTCTTGATTGTTTCATTCCTAAACTGCTGCTTCTGCTGCACTTTTATGGTTGTTGGCATTGATGATGATGGAATTTTCTCCAGTAAGGGAACCTAACATCCCTTTCCCCTGACATCTGCAAAAGTCCTTCTCTGTCAGTCAGCAGCAAACCAGAAAAATTAAAGCAAGGATACTGAAAGCACTGACCAGGCCTACCCCATTAGTGTTATGTATATGATGGTAATTAATGCTGATAAAAAATATATATATATATAAGAATAAAATATAAAACCTTGAAATCACACCAGCAAGGGAGAAGGGGATTGCTTCACAGGATGGCAAAACCGCAGCTGGCAGCGAGGAGGAGGTGGGTCATTGACATACCAAGTGGACCCAGCCCGCACAGGAGATGGGCGTTCTCGCTGGCATGAACGAGAGCACGCTCAGCGATGGTGGCCCATGGAGATGTTCACCTCAGGTAGACAGGATCATCAAGGACAGACATCTGAATGCGGGATTCCGGGAAGTGGAGACAGATACACATCAATTCCTGGACGAGGTTTTGTCCAGCACAGGACAGAGAACAGAGGCAACATGAATATGAAGAACCCCGAGGAAAGACAAAGGGACTCCCCCACAGGCAAGAAAAAGAGTATAAAACTCGGACTCTGCCAAGCGCCATTGGTGAACAGGGGGATTCGGTGCGATAGAGGCCGGATCTGAGTTCACCCTGCTCCGATCCTGGGGTCGGTGCTGCCTTTGATTGTTGGCGGTCAGGACTGTATAAATTTACTTTTATTTTTATTAAATTGGCTGGATCAGTTTTTACCCATAACAATTAGCAAAGCAAATGCCATTCAGCACCACTTTGAACGGCATCCAGGAGAGGAAAGCAGCTGTACACTTTCAGTACCTACTGAACCGACAAACCCAATAGTCTCCTCCATCATCCACAGACTCATTATCAAGAGAGAGGTTGGGATGTCTGAGAAGAGCTGTAAAACCTTTGCCTTTCTGAAACTTAAAGCTGCTGTGCCAGGAGAGCGGAGAACAGAGCTCATGGCCCACTGTGGGTAATACTGACCCCAGCACAATGGCAGGGCGGGCGATCAGCTCAGCCACGCTGCCTGAGTGGGTGCTCCGTTCTTTTGCAGAGAGGCAAGAAAGACACCCTGAGGAAGGGCTTGGGTGAAGAGGCAAAGCAGAGCAGGAGATCCTAACCCCTGGCTACCAAGCTCATGGCTGAGCCAAGGCAAAACAATTTTGCCCTGTTTTGTATTTTCCACTCCTCATGAGCTCCCTTGAGCAGGGAACCTCTTGGTTTTGTCTGGGATTTCTCCCTTCACCCACAAGATGGCATAATTTGCTTAGTCTCCAGTTGCTCTGGATGTGCTTGGCCACTTTTCTCTCTAACCAGAGGGGATATGGTCACATCTCATCTCACAAGATGGCTAACAGAAGGAGGAAGTCCTCCTTTTCCCTGTCCCAGCCTGCAGGGATGGGCTTGGCCCTGCTGAGTGGACAGGGAAGTTAACAGAGAAAAGAGATGGATAGCCAGTGCATCCTGCACTCTTGGCTCCGTATTGTTTGGATAAACAGAGGCCAACTCACTGCTGTCTTGAGGTTCCCCAAGGAGCTTGCCAGGCTCCCCATCTGTAAGAGCACTTTCACAGTGCCAGGGCTGTGCTCAGGAAATGTAATTGGCCAGCATGGGTTGATGCGACATTTCCCAGAAACAGAATGCCTAAGGAGGAAATGAATCTCTTCAATACAAGTCAGCTATCAATTCCCTGATATTTACCTAAAACAGAAGTCAAATTGAAAACCAACAAAAATTATACAAGCTGAGAAATATTCCCAGCTTGTATAATTTTTGTTGGTTTTCGATTTGGCTTCTGTTTCCTTTTGGAGTTTACTTGCAAGACAAAGCAGTAAAACTGTGATATTGTTAGAAACCACAGTCACCTGACTTTATTTTCCCTCCCTTAGATTGACTGGGTGGTCTGTCTATCTGTTAATCAGATTTTCCCTGGAAATATCTCAGGTTTAGAAATCCTAGGTGCCCATTTGGAAAGGGTGGGTAATTTACTGGTGAGCTCCAAGGCAGAGACACTGCCACAAACAGTTGGCAGAGGTTCCCTTAGAGGTCAGAATGCAGAGCTAGCCAGTAATTGCATGTGAAGTGCATATTCATGGGCATCAAGACAGCAGGTCCTTAAAAGCTGTGCATCAGCCAAAGAACAGGAATAAGCAATTGTTCATACATCAAATGCATCAATGCCCCTCTCACCTGAAGGAAAAACACACTTCAAGCCATCAGTTTTAAAAGTCAAAACTTCAGAGGAAGAGAGATGCCTTTCAGGAGGTGAGCTTACCTCATTGCGACATTGCTGCCATCGATCACAATGGGCCTCAGGTAATCAGAAGAATCACTTTCATCTTCTCCAAGCCACTTTGGCCCTAGTGTGGTGCTGCACGATCCTCGGGCAACCAGCTTCAGCTGGGAAGGCTGAGCCTGGCTCTCCAGAGCCTGAGGTTTACTCCCCATCCGAATCAGCTCTTTCAGCACATCATCCTCCAGGGCCTCTTGGCCCAGGTTCTCCAGCACTTTGCAGATGTCCTGCTTACCATAGCCCAGCTTGCAGAAAAAATCCATCTTGCTCTGGTGCACTTCCACCCCTGCTGCAGAAACTTTTCTGGAGTGTGGTGGTGCTGCTTTGCTAGGAATCGAACTGGCCAGTGCCATTTTAGCAAGAATTTATGTTCCTTTAAGCCTGATGATCCTGTATTCCCAGCTGTGTCCCACAGGCATCAGCTTCATGGAGGGAAAGATTAGCAACAACAAAACACAAGCATTAAGAAAGAATATGCAATCATCTCAGTTCTTTGCCTAGTGCATGGCAGAGACCAGCAGATTAGCTGTCTTCTCTCTAAGGAGAGTGTCCTGTCTTCTCTCAGCATTAAAGCATTTTTCTGGTCTGCTCTTAACTATAAAAGCACCAGAGTGTCCCATGCAATGTTCGTCACTCTGCAAACATTATGTCAGACAGGTGTCACTTTACTTGGTGAGCTATGCCAGGCTGCCTGTACGCAGACAGGCTGCATGCGTGAGTTGGTTCTTCAGACTTATCTCACAGGAAATGACACAAAGGGGATTTTCAACTTGCTGTGTGGTTTCTCAGCCTGAGATAAATATCTATCAAGTTTTACTGGACGGGCTCAGGTGCCATAGCAACTTAACAAGCATTGCAAATTTCATCCAGTGATTTAAGGAAACACGCTGTTTGCAAAGTATCTGGAAACAGATTTATTTTTGTAGTTTTCTCTTTCCTCCTATGTATCTGTGTGTATATGGACATAAATTCTGAAATTCTGTAACTCATCAGTTCTAATGATGCCTGACTACTCTTTTCCTGTTACTTGCTATTTTGGTGAGGGCTTTTATTTTCAGAGAAGCAACTTGTTTTTTTGAAAGCTGTCAGGACGGTGCCTTGAAGCAGGTGATCCAGAAAGCGGTTTCAATTTCACTTACGTTTATTGTCAAGGTAATTCAGAAATGAGTGTGCAAAAGTAGCAAAAAGCTATTTCATATTCCCCAGAACGGCACCACGTACATTTCTGGTCTGCCTAGTGAATGAAGGTGATGGGCAGCATAGTCAGGGATACCCAGAACTGCCCAAGCCCAACAAGCATGACACAGGAGAACATATAGGGTGACACTCTTCTGTAAAACCAAACACCTTCAGTCACTGTTGGCTTGCTTGCACTGAAGCATCTCTTGCCACATCACTGCAATTATTGGGGCTATCTGGTTAAAAGCTGTGGCTGGTTCTTTTGCCCACATGGGGGATGTAAGGGTGGCCGTCTTCCCTTTGCTGACTGCAGTCAGATGCAGAATTAGCTGACCAAACAACCCTCTCCATGCTGAGCCCAGAGCCAGAACCACATCCCACCCTCCAGCTCCCCTTCCCAGCCTGCCAGCCACTCCCTGCCTAGCAGTGGGCCACACTGGGAGCCAGAAGCTGACACCATGTGGAAGAAGGCAGGGAGGTACTGGAAACATGCAGCTGGGAGAGGATTCAGAGTGAAGCTCCTCCCCAAGGCATAAAAGCCTTCTCAGGCTCTGGGGAAGAAATCCACACTGGGTTCAGGTAATTTAAAACTGATTAGTTCAGCAGGAAAACACGATAATTAGTTATAACTTCACCTCGTGAAACTTTGAACTTTACTTTTCTATGTGGCTTTATAAATTTCAGGTATTCTCTGGGAGAAATCTGGCACTCAGTTAAAAATGACAAACAGCATCAATAAAAAAACCACATACTTTAAATATGTCATACCTGTAAGGGGAAAGCAGTTACCGTGTGTATTTTTCCATCTAAACTAAAGCATTGCTTATTTTAGTCAGTAAGTGTTTTCTTCACCGTGCACCCTGTAACAATTTTTACATCTAATCCTTGTTTTTAATTCATTGACTAAAGATTAAAATGAAAATGTTTTTTCATTAATGAAATGTTTTCTCATCTTTGGGACAGCTACCGTCTGAGCTGAAATACATTGATGTAACCAAATAAAGCAGAAGCAGCCACATCTGGGCTAGCACCACAGTAAAACCTGCTTCCAGGTATGGAATTGGTGGCTCCAAACACTTAAAGTTTGCTACTTCATTTTTTTTTTTAAATGCCTAGACTTTTACAAATAAATTTTTGCTAATTAAAACTTTTCTTAGTATATCTTCAGGTTGAAAAGAAAATATTTACCACATATTTTAATTGCCATTACTATTATTTTCAAACCTGTACTTCTGCCTATTCTGATGCTTTTTCTTCTTTTTTTTTCTTTTTTTTTAAAATCCCCCTTATCTTTTACTATCAGAACAATTTCCCATGTTAGCATCACACTGTGTTGCATGGATGTTTGTCCTGGATTTCACCTGAAATTAGGTTTGATTCAATCCTTTAGAATTTTACCTGCTGCAGAGGGGGCAGAGGCCATGTCCACCTCGCAGCCTCCAGCACACATGAGCAGGTGCTGGATGGAAGTTGTTCACCACAACACTTTCCTAGCTCCATCCCAAGCAGCACCAAGCCCACGGTCCATGTCTGCACACTTTGCTTCCTTTTGCAAGGAAGCAAAGTGTGCAGACTTCTGTGCAAGCAGTGACTCCCTTTGGCTTGGCGAGCATGGGAAGTGCTGAGCTCCGGATGGCTGCCTGGGCTTGATGTGATGCACTATCAGCCATCACCAGCAGTGTGGTAATCTGCAAAGTTAATCACTGGATTTCTGCTGCAGTGTGGCCAAACATCATAAATGGGTGATACAGGCACTGCAGGGTTTTCACCACAGAGAGAATAATTTGGAAAAACTGAGATGGAAGCCTTGGTCACAGAAAACACTGAGGTCACCTTTCTCAAGGGGGAATTAAAGGGCAATAAAATCCCTGGCTTACACAGTAGTAAACAGTCAGGAGTGTGCCCAAGTCCAGCAGGTCAGCTGGCTGCTTATAATCAGCATAAAAAACAGACAAGAGGAGAAATTGTGTATCACAGAGTCCAGCTTTTACTATCACAAACAGGTTGTGAAATTCCATTTATAAACTTTATGACCTTCATTTGCAAACTGCCTAGATTTCCTCCTGCCACTTTCCTCCCTTCATCTCAGCTGGTCCCACTGGAATCTGTTTTTGTTTTCATTCCACTGAAAGCCAAAGTCTTCTCATTTCACAGAATAATTTATCCACAGATAATGGTGTGCCCATCTTATGTTCTAGCTTAAAAAGCACTCTGTGTTGTTGCGACTCCTCTTACAGATACACACAGAAGAAATGGCTTCAGTCAGATTTCCAAAGTTCTATTTCAGTCTTAACATCTTAGAAGGTTAATATTTCAATGAGTACTTTTGACCAAAAAAATCAAAAAACCTCTTCTGTTTTTCTGCCTTTGGTATATTTTGACAGATTTTTAAGATTAGAACTTTATATTTGAGAACATTTTCCAAAGAAGTGGTGGTAACTACTACATCTCAAATGACTTTAAAGAATAATTTTTCCTTCCACCAGGTGTTTGCTCCTCTTCCAACCAGTCAGAGCAGCACCTCCAGCAGCCTCAGGCCATAGAACCACAATAAAGACCAGTGCTCTTCAAAGCCCCCCATTCTACCCAAGCAGAGGCAGAGGGGACACAGCACCAGACAGACCTGGCATTGGTCTAGGCAGAGCAGGATAAGGGTCATGTGTATGCCAAGCAGCACAAAAAGCACAGCTACAGCTCCCTGCCCCTCACGTTGTGCTGCCCCTCACGCCTCGGGGTTGGACCACTTCACCCCTCTTCCTCCTTCACCCCTGACAATGACACTGCAAACCACTTAAGACTGACAGCCCATTTGAGCCCTGCCATGTGGTGGGGCTGTTCTACCTTCACAAGAGCAAGAATTTTTATTTTCACAAATGAAAGATGCACATAACTCTTTATAAACTCTCCACAGCAACACCAGACATTTGTTGTTTTGATAACTACGAAAAGATCTGCCTTTTTCTTCCCCACCTTCCTTGCTCCATTTGCTAAAAATAATAAAGCCAAACTCCCCAGGAGCAAGCTGTCCCCACAGGTAACCCCTCTTGCTCTGCACCTTACCTGGCAGCTGTTCTCTCTGTGGCCTAGCAGTCTTGCCCCACCATCTCCAGCCAGAAGCTGGATTCAGAGCAGTACCAGGCTCACGAGGAAGTCACCAGCTTGTATTTAGAGGTAAGGCTGATGTCAATTGAGGCAAATAAGTGCAGTGGGCAGAACTCATTTTATAGGAAGGTTTTACTTCCTCATTTGGCAGGCCATGCTCTCATATAACCATAGTTTGATAAACTTTCACTTCATTTTTCAAAAGGAAAAAAAAATAAAAGAGGTTCCTAACACATCTCTGTTCTGAGTCACAGGCAAAAATTAGTCAGACTCACTCCAGCAGGGAGTTGGGCAGCAAGAACATTGGGCAGCAAGAACACTGCATATGAATTCTGGGTCAAGTGAAAAATTTTCCACCAGGGTTGCTGTACAAGTTAGCACAGCCTTATTCCCATACATCTGGAAAATTTCTGACCTCCAGGAAAATGTGGAAAAAATACTTTAAAAAAATCAACATTTTGCTTAGCACCTGATACTGCAAAGCCTCATTCAAACATTTCCATGTCTGAAGGAACCTGCTCTGGGACACTACAATGAAACATCAAAATCCAAACAACCCCCTTTAGCCTGCTGGAGCCTCAATTGAAAGACTGCTTCAGAGATGCTCAGCCTGTCCACAGCAAAGTCTGACAGGCACTTCTTCATGGAAACCTGAGGTTTTCCTCTGCTTTTTCCTTACCTTGCTGCAAAGAAATACACCCCAAATCCAATTTTAGGCAGCAAGAAGGGTTGGAGACTCTAAGAGGGGCCAGCCTCTGGGACCTTTTGGATGCTTTAGATAGCTCTTGCATGTGCAGTGCCCTCTGCCCTGAGGGATGACTAGGGTGCTGTGCCGTGGAAGGAGAGAGCCTCTGCCACTGTCAGAAAGCAACACACCAGAGCAGGGTTGACCTTTCCCAGTCAGGAACCCCACTACCTGTATACTTTGTGGGAGTAAGCAGGGTAGCCAAACCCTTTGTAGTGGTATCCTGTTTATCCCAAAGAGTGTTTGCTGGTTGCTGCAAGCCTCACCGTCACTTTTTCCAAGTGATGGTTACACCTTTACATCACACCCAGACCCCTGGAAACTCTTTGGGGGCCAGGATGCCCCGCTGCTGTGTAAAGCAGTGCTCAGGCAGCCACAGGACAAAGGGGCAGGACACAGCCTCCTCCCTCCCACCTATGGCACAACACTTCCTCTAATCCACAAAGCTGAGCAGGTTGAGGCTACAGAAACAGGGAAGTGCTCCCAGAGCCACAACTAAAGACACATGCTAGCTCCCTGCTGCCCAGAACAGCTGTGAGAGCAGAACAGCCTTTGACTCCTCACTCCTTGGACTCAGAATCACAGCATGAATTAAGCTGGAAAAGACCTTTGAGATCATCGAGTCCAGCCTCAACTCCAAACATCCCTGGAGAGGAGGGATTTTCTCTGCTCCATTTAAGCTTTCACAATGCCCCATACCTCATCACAAGACCACCACATAGCAGTACTACTAGAAAGTTGTTGCACTATTTATAACCCGGGCAGGTAACAGAGCAAAGCACACTACATTGTGTGGTGTTGTTTTACCCCCTACTTCTCAGTAAAATGGGGGGTTTACTACCTAAATAGGAACAAACCAGAGATTATAAAAGAGAAGGAAATTAGATAAAAGAAATCTCATTTCTGTTGAAATGACTATGCCCATCTACTGTAAAAAGCCATGAGCAAAAAAGACTACAGCATCATAGGAAAGACTTCAAATTGTAGGCAGCCAGGAAGACCCTCAGCCAGTTCCTGAAACCTGTTTACCTAGTGATCACCAGCCACCAGAGAGAAGACCATGAGAAATAAAGCAGCATATTTAATTTTTCAGGTGGCCTCACAGCCCTTCGCTCACCAGCACAGACACACCTTTGAGCACCAAAGGCTGTGGTTTTGTAGACATTTCCTTTCTCTGCCTGTGCTCTCTTGTGCTGACAAGCTTGCTGAGTTTTCCCAGCACAGATTTATTGCTGCTCAAGGCCATTGTTATGCTCAAGACCATTGTTATGCTCAAGACAGAAAGAGCTGCAGGAGGAGAAGTTTTCAGAGGGCAAGATCTCCCCACTAATGGATGTTTCAGTGCTGAGGACTGAGGATTTACTGGTTTGTGAAATAACTAGACCTTCACCAGAAAGAATCCCGCCAACCTCAAAGTGGGGTAGTCTCGTTGTGACAGCTCCTGGAGGCTACAGAGTTGACCAAGCACGACTTTGAAGAAGGTTCCCTGTGCAAAACCACTTTCCTGATGGTGTTAGACTCCTGCATGGAAAAAACACTCTCTTGAAACTGGTTCTGTGGAACACCTCAGATGTTTTGGTCCACACACCTCAGTGAGGTATTTGCTAAAGGAAACAGTCACTATTGCATCAGCAAAAGAGAAAAGCATTATCACCCTCTTCCTCATCTGAAAAATTCACCTGCTGTGTACCAAACAAGCATGTGGCCACAGTAACAATTCTTTAGTCCCTAACCAGCAGAACACAGTCAGAATAAAGCAAGTGCTAACTCAAATGTAGGTCTATTGCCAGGAATATTTTTAATAATTGTGGAACAAATATATTCTCCATCCTGATTTAAGTGAGACCATTTCCCTACTCCCTTCAGGAAGGCTCAGATCAGACCCTCAAGCCAAGCTCTCTCAACAGTATAAGCTATGCTCCTGATTTTAATTACAATTTTTTACTATTAGGTGAAATCTGGATGTTTTCTGCCAGTGAAATTCTTTCACAGTTGGAGACAGGTGTTCACCCAAAAGTCTGCATCACTAACTTAGTAGGTCCTACTAGAGTACCAGCTCAGTCCTGACAGGCAATCCTGTATTCACACAGGCAGAAAACCACTATCTTTAGAAGAGGTATTTCTACATGCTTGCCAAAATGACCACCTTTCCTACTTCCCCAAAACTATGCCACTGTAGCAAGCACTCCATCTGATCACAGAACAGAGAGAACAAAACCCAGGAAAACCAATTTCAATAATGCAAACAATGGTAACTTCTCGGAAAACTGCAACCCCATCCATAATGTCTGATGTAGCAGGATCCCTACTTGACTGGCCAAAAAGATCTATTTTTCCTCCTTTTATATAACAAGATACTGCTATGACTCAAGTTGTTTTCCACTGGGCTTAAAATAAAAAAGTACCTTTTACAGAGTCAGAAAGTCCCAAACAAGTTTCAAGTTCAAAAGTTTACTGCCGTTCAGGTTAAGATTTCAGAAGGCTCTTGGAACTCTTTTTCAGCTTCAATGATTTATTGTAAGCTCTCAAGACCTAAACCAACACACAGTTTGGTGGTACCTTTTAACACAGCCACCACACTTAACCAAGGTGATACTGGCTTGCTCACTGAGAAAAAGCACATTCTGTCAGTGGCCAGACCAAGCACTTTACACAAAAATACCGCCCTGAAGCAAGTATTTACATAAATCTGACTGTAATTTAACATTTTTCAAATTGCTTGCACCTCCTCTGTGTGCAACAGGTGACTAACAGAAAAGGAGAGACATTACCCACGCTCCAGAAAGCTTACAAGCAAAACCTGTAATCCTGTTGCCAACAACATACAAGTTTTACATGAAAAAAATCAGGCTACAGGAGGGTGAGATGGACAAAGATAGCAGCAGCAGAATCAGAAATTGTTCTAAACTTCTTAGAAATTCTAAAATGCTTGTCCAAAACTAACAGATGAAAGGAGTAGGGGAGAATTTGGTTTGGTCTACTTGTGTGGTTGTTAGGGTTGGGTGCGGTTTTGACAAGTGGAAGGAAGCAGGTAGAGCTTTATCTCCAGAGAGCACAGGGCTACCACAACTGGGTTTGGGTAACTCCCATCCTGCAATGCTAACCCCTTGGATACAACATTTATGCTACTTCCACTGACTTGTGTGATATCCATGGGATTAGAGAGATATCTGTTGCAACCTACCCTCCTGCCACTTGCCTCTAGTGCTCTGCCACCAGGTCCTATTCATAACATGGTTTTGGCCAAGTCCACTCCAAGTCTTGGACTTGAACTCAAGGGATCTACCAAGAACTAAAGAAACTACAACACATGACAGCAAAATAGTCACGAACTTACTCAAATCTACAGAATAAAAGTTTAGAGTCTACATCACATTTTTAAGCTGTTGTAGATAAAGAAATCCAATAGAAAACTCTGAGGAGCTGGTTTTTAAGCATTTAACCACTGAAAAAAAGAGTCCTAAAGCATGAGGTGTTCCCCTCCAAACAAGCATCAGCTAAGTGAAGAAGTTGATGCTTCTGCTACACTTTCAATGCTATTTTCAACATTATAGAAGAAAGTGGGTTTTTTTGGTTGTTTTTCAACTACCACAAGCACCAAAGGTCAATAGCAAAACTGAGGTTGGAGAAAGCATTGACAAAAAGGAAATGACAGGGAAGTGCCACTTTTCATTAGATTAAAACAAGTCAAAGTCCACTCTTCAGCTCCCAGATAATAAAGTCCTGTCCGCTCCAACACTTCTGGCTGGACAGGCACAGCAGGAAATGTTTGTGGTTTCAGCTTGTTCATGCCATTTCCAGAAGAACCACATGTACACCACCATAATTTCCAATGATGGGAGGAGTAAATCCCATCTAACCCAGAGTGCTCCACTGTCTATGTAACAGGTGAACTGCGATCCCTCCAGTGTCAGCAGACTAGCCTACAAATGCAACCCTAAAATTAAGTACTTGCCTCCAAACTGGGAGCTTTTATACTGCCATTTAATCACCTATTAATGCCACCTTATTTTTGAACATCCACATTTGAAAGATTCTACTTAAAAAATATAAACAGGTGATTTCACTAATCCAAATATGCTGTGCATTTTTAACAGCACCAAGGCATATTGAAAATCAGAAACTTGAAACCTTTTGAATGTACTCATTTTTTAACCCTTAGCTCTGAAGACTCTTTGCCAACAATGAAAATGGACTATTTACTTCTGTATACAACTCATTTAAACTTAGTTCTTAAGTATTTACCTGTTGCAAAGAAAAGAAAAGCGATTTCTGCAGGAGAAAAGTAAGCACATTGACCTGAAATGCAGTGTTTGTTTCTAAACATTGGTAAGTTTAAGTTTTGTATGTCCCACAGGTGGTTAAAGGCTAGCTGAAGCCTAGGGATGGCTGCTGAAACTCTTTGCGATGTTAAGTCACAACTCTCCATTAAGAGGACCTCTGATGTTCCTCACTATCCCCACATCCTTGTCAAATCTGGCCAGTGCTTCTCCCAAGTTAATGTCATGTGGAGAAGGACAGCGGGACTGAGAACAGCATGACAGCACAATCATAGTTTCTTTAACAGAGGCAGGCCAAGAGCAGGAGCTTGAGACAACATACTGCCTCCACAGCACTACTCCAAAGGCACCATAATCTCACCTAGTACAGTTCCTTGGAATCTTGTTATACCCAGATGGAAGGCAGACATTTTCTTGACAGGGATAGTGAGCAGTCCTCAGCCTCAGATTCCCCAGGAGACTTCCAGGAACAGGCTTCCTCCTTACCTCTCCTCTGGAACAGAGGGCTCTTGGTCAGACTCTGCAAGGATGGCACCGGCCCCTGTAGGGTCTCAGGCAGTTAGAAATGTTCTGCCAGGAGACAGTTGTGGAAGCCTTGGATTTCTAGTTCTATGCTTTGAAGGACACAAAAGTAAGAGATTCATCAAAAGGCAGCTTCTTAGCCAAGTATACTTCCTGTACTTTGCGAAGCCCACTTTAAGTCTTGGACTCAAGCTCAAGACTACAAAGAACTAAAGGAATTATAATGTGTGACGTCAAAATAGGTCTCAAGCTTACTCAAATCCATAGAACAATTAGGGGTCTACATTCACATTTTTAAGCTGTTACAAGTAAAGGAATCCAACAGAAAACTCTGAGGAGCTGGTTTCTAAGCCTTCAACTAAGGAACAAAGAACCTCAAAGCATGAGGCATTCCCCTTCAAACAGGCCTCAGCTATGTCAAAGTGAAGAAGCTGATGCTTCTGCTACAGCATTTTCTATGTTATTTTCAACATTACAGGAAGGTGGGGTTTTTGTGTTCTGTTTTCTAATTACCACAAGCACCAAAGATGTTGGATTCCAGCTTTGTTTTTAACAAAGCAAAGACAGGGCAGATGCTGCTGGAAAGCACATTCCTGTATTAAATACCCTCAGTATCCCTGCTCAGCTTAGGTCCGGAGATTACAGCCATCCCGCCTGGCCTGCCTAGTCAGAATTTTCTGCCATGGGATAGTTTCAGCTGATTATGTTCCTTAAATATCTGTCTTCCCATAAAATCAGTAAGAAGTTCTCTCTTCACAGTCCATTGAAATACTCTATCCAGGCACAAGCACTCCAGGGCAAAGCAATTTGTAGCAATTCATCTTGAATTTTACAATTAGCAGATTATGTTCCAATGAAGGCTATCAAGCTGTAAAATCTTACTGCATATTGCAGTCAGACACTACAGTAAGTATTACAGAAAAAACACTATCACAAAAGAAAAAAGTTAAATTTATTATTTTAGTTCCCCTCTGTATATTCCTTGTCCTTCATCTGTACTTGGACCTCTCTTTGTCTTTTGACTTCTTAGGACTTCTGCTTCTGTCTGCTTTTTTATCCCAGTCTCTTACTCGGATGTCTTCTCTGTATTTGTCTTTTTGTCTGCTGTAAGTGTAATCTCTCTCCTGAGAACGGCTGCGACTCCGATGCCTGTCTTTCTTCTCACTCTTGGTCCTTTCCCTGCAGCGTTCTTCATGCTTCCGGTCAGAATCCTGGCAAAGGAATTGGACAGAAATGCAGTCACAAACAAGAGGGGAAAACACACAGAGGCACAAAGAGAACTAGAGAAAAGTCAAGCATGGCTGGTTCCTTAGCTACAGCTGGTACTACCTTAAAGATATTCATATCCATGACAATTTGAAGAAGGTAACACAAAAATTCCCCACTGAAACCATCTGAAGAAGGTAAGTTTTTTTACAAGTTTCTGTTGGTGTTTATGGAAAAAAGCATGGCTGTCAGGCATGCTTCTTGCACTGCCTAAGGAGCTTTAGCAAAAACTGGTTATAGCAGGGATTCTATTATCAAACTCTTCACAAGCATCAAACATGTCTGTAAGCTAGATTTGGATTTAGGATTTTTTTACCTAAGCAATGCAAATATTTCCAAAAATAAGTTTTGGTTCAAGCCCCACAGGCATTCCAGTGCTTTGCAGATGCATAACATATTTTAAGACCTACCTGTAGTAATTCTTAATGGCCTAAATTCTAGGCTTCAGCAAAATGAACAACCTGACAGTTTAATATCACTGTATGTGCTAACAGAGAGATACAATTTTATGGGATTTTAATAACAATACTGTTAAGCACAGATCAATATGAGTCAAGAAAAATATCTACATTAAATCACACAATATTTCTTTCCTCATTTAAGATATTATTTTTTTAAGGATGTACCAAGACAGCAGCCAACACAACTGTATGGTTAACCTATACTTCACGTACAAACAAGCAAACTTCATTTATTTAAAAGAATGGTGAAAAAACTTTACTTTAAACAGAGATTTTATGCAGAAAGACAGTGACTGGGGTGGATCCCAGAGCAAACACCACCTTTAGAATGACATTGATAATGCCAAAAGTATTAGGGTTACAATAAGCAACAAAAACCCTCTGGAAAAACAGACACACAAATAATCACAGGTTTGATCTATAATAAAAACATTCTGCTACTGCTGGGTACAGTAACCTCCCTGGTTGCCAAATGCCTATTCCACATCTTTACTGTCCAACTTTATTTAAAATCTGGATCCACCAAAAAGTCTCAGTCATGCTTCCAGCTACTTGTAAGAGCTTTGTCCATCCAATCTCAAAATGATGCACAGCCATACTACTACTCTTGTTCTCAAAAGCCTCACTCTTCATATGTTTGAAAAAGCCAATTGGTTTCAAGCCCCTCTGTGACAAGGCCTGAGCAAACACCAGATGACGGACATGCTAGTGGAGGGGTAACAGGAACAAGACAAAAAATATTGGCCAGAAAACCAAATGGTGGGCTTGGTGTAAGGCTGCCTTCTAACTGGTTTGTTGCTGGAGTTTCCTCCCAGCACATGGGAGAAAACAGGAGAAAAGCAGGACAGCACTCAGTTGAACAATCTAACAAATGAACACTGGAGACAAGGCTCCTGGTCAAGTGGGGGCAGAGAACAGGTTAGTGGACATTTCAAACTACAGACAAATGGCCCACATTGAATGCCACAGGAAAGGACAACTTGCTGAAAGGATTAGAAGTTATACAAGCATTGAGTCAAACAACAACAGTGACCTTCATAAAAGCATTTAAGGAACAGGTGTACAGGACAAATCTGAAAGTGACAACAAAGTCGCCACAGTAGCTGATATGATCACAACATAAAGGAAAAAATCTGAAGTTGGATTAATAGCATGAATTGCGTCTTTATTTCTTGCCAGCATAAGTTACATTTCCCCTTTAATAAAATTTCTCATTTTAAAGTCTTTGGCATGGAAAAGGGTCAATTTTTAAAACACACTAAATTACTAAAAAAAAAAAAAAAAGGTATTTTGAAACCAAATTTTTATGCCCAAAAGTCAAAACCACACTGTTATGAAAGAAAAAGACTCGTACTTAAAAACAGGCTCTCTCTTACTGCTGAAACGTATTTCCCAACCCAGGATCATAGCCTCTCATCAGTCAGTGAGTAAATGATGACCACCCCAGTTCTTAATCCAGCACTGTGTTGGAACACACATGAGGAAGGAAATAAGGAAAGATAGAAAGACGCTTCTCTGGAAGTTCATGGCTGATTTTGGCAAAAGTAGTAAATTTCTAAACAGCAGTCCCAGGTCAAAGAGCTAGAAATATCATGGCCACAGAAGTAAAATGCATACGCCACCTCTAACATACATTAAATACAGTAGTTAAAGGTTAAAAGGAGTAAACAAATAGAGAGAGCCTTTACTAGGGGTGGATTTTTTTGAAAAAACTTGATCCTGAATATGAAGGGTACAGTGTCCAATAAGCAGTAAAAGCAGGAAAACAAAACCAGAAAAATCAGAACCTCTGCCAAAACCAAAACTACAGAAATCTGAAATTGGGAAGTTCCTATGTCTTGCAAAAATCTACTGGATAGGCCATACTACCTCACAGATCCAGTTCTCTTAAAAAATAAAATCCAAGAGAAATCACACAGAGAAATCTGGAAGGCGAACAAAGCCCTAATATAGATCTCATGCAGAAGCATGTCCTGTATTCAAAAAACTCTACCAAATCCTATTCACAAACCCACATGGCAGTCCACCCTCCTGCCTCAGACCCACATCCTGTTACTTACTAAAAACAAGCCACAGCACCCTATCTCTTCTACCCACTGGAATGAAGTCAAACAGCACAAGACTCAAAAATATATTCTTGAAACATCAACAAAGAGGCCAAAGATTCAGGAAATGGGTGTCAGACTAAGAAAAGGATGAGTCAAAATATACTAAAGAAAAAAGTAACACCAGCAAGAGAACAGAAAAACAACTCAACATCATGGAAACTACTGAGAAAATAAAACCCCTTCAAGTCATAGCTAGAGTTGATAGTACAAACTGCAGCTCCAGTTGCCATAACTTCCCATTATAAGCCCCATATCTCTCTTAATTAAAATCTCTGCCACACTATGGACTTACGGTGTAAATTTCTGTAAGAAGCATGGTTACTGTGCTGCTGTTTTATTTTCAAGTTCTTACCTCAAATACATCCAGTGATTTACAAAATAGGGTAAAGGGAGAATGCTTTGTTTGCCTATACTAAAAATACTACCATTCACTAAAAAGCTTCCATGCTGTTATGCTTTGTGTTGGACTCAGTATTCCCGCTGAATATATTCCACCTCAGGAACATGCTTGCTTTCCCTTATTTTCACATATTATGCACAAAGTATGAATAGTAAAAAATAAAACAAAATTAAAATTTTGTATATGCTAAGCAGGATTTGTCACCTAAGCCAGCAGCAGATTTCACTGGAGAGGCCATGCCCAAAATAGAGTCTGTGTGAGACTGAGTATATACTGCTCAGTATATGCATACTGTACAGTACACACTGACGAGGATATTCAAATCCAAACAGAAAAATTCTTCCCAGAAATTAATTTTCACAGCTCCAAGAGGGAACTATGATGCCTGCCATCAGAGAATACAAGTAAACCTCCATCTGTGATTTCGGGCATAAGAAAGCTAAACTACTTACAGCAAAATGGGTAAAGGTGACTAAGAGAGAAGAAAGCTGTGGGAAAGAAGATACCAGAACACAGCAGCAGCAGATTACAAGAACAAACCACATCAGGAGCAGGTGACTAAATCACAAAAAGATACACATAAACACAGAGATCACATAGACAAGCATTAGAATATGTTCTATTCCAGAACCAGAAAACAGCCCCAAGAATCCCTC